AAAGTTATGGTTCATAAATTAATTATTTATTTATTTATTTATTGTACAGCACTGACTTTGTTGCATACATTTGACTGAATTGTATGTTTTTGTCTTATTTCCTATTACATACATCTCTTATAGCCTAGTTATACTTTTATAATGGCTATTATTGTTCATTAAAACTGACATTAACAAAAAAGGCAGAGTTGTGCTTGTCATATTTCATTGTATTATACATTCAGTGAAGATAATCAGAGTATAGCCTATGTGAATATTACCTAAGCACATATTAATATGTTTTATATTTTTTTAAATGAAAACGAAAAGGGTTGTGTTTTATATTTTGAAGAAAACGAAAAGGTAGTGGTGTTTGATATCATTTCGTTTTATTGTAATGCGGGTACGTTTTTGTGGCTATTAATATTTTTAATGAAACAGAAAAGAGGCAGTGCTGTTTGATATATTTTGTTTGTATAGCCTACCCCGAACTACATTTTTTTTGGCTATTAATATGTTTAAAAGAAAACAAAAAGAGGAAGTGGTGTTTGATATCATATTTTGTCATATTGTATACAGTTAGTATCCACCTTTTTCTTGTCATAAAAATGGATGCGGCCATTTGTAATTTCTATGGGTCTGGCTTCCGGTCTCATCTGCGTCCATTCCGTCCAGCTATTTTTAGCTGAACAAAACAGTTCGTTTTGCTGCTTGATATTGAAAGTTGGTGTGTCTTATCGTATTATTTTAATGTATTATCTTAATTATGAACACACTGGGTTGTAGTGCAAACAGTTTTACCGTTTACTGCACGTTGTTATTCTCCTCGTTATTTACCTATAGCGGCTAATGAACCGGAAGTCTCACCCATAGGCTTACTTCCGCGTTGAAGAAAAAGGTGGATAACCGGAGTAGTCAAGGCGAGCTGACGTACGTTATCAAGTACGCTGCTGTTCCATTTGCAGAATTACCGGACTTGCGTCCTCCCATCCTCGGGAGTTCGCACTTCCGAGTCGAACTTGCGAAGTCTGAACTACTGAGGACGCAAGTCCGAACTTTGCGTACTTGGTCATGAGAAACGGCCCTTATTTGTGCTTCCTCGCTTCCTTTCCTTGCGTCTTAGCTCCAACCCTTCAGGATGCGAGGGAAGGACGCAATGACGGAGGAGTTGAATCAAGTGAAATATCATATCCTCGCTCCCTTTATCATCACTTTAAAGCATCATCATCTGGGCTAAAGGGATTTGCCCTTGTGTTGTTAAAGTTTATTTATAATAAATATTAATAAAGCAAGAGGCTCTGTTTGAAATATAGGACATATGGTTTATTTAAGCTGAAAAGGTCAAATATAAATTAAAATTATTACAAAAGATGTGAAGGGGGAGGAGAATTTATACGTGCGTCAGGTATTTAGATGAAAAACACTTCCGCAAAGGATACACCAGTGTATCTTCGCTCAGAGCGAGCGACACCATAACATTCACTATACATTCAGTATAATGTAGGTTCAATGTCCTTTGTCCCAGTCTTACAAGTGACCTCAATTAATATTCCAAATGGATGGTTGTAACAGTGGAACTCCTTGTATTCAACATCAGTCTTGAAGTTTACCTTAATAACGTTGATTTTAAAAAGACTGTTACTTGTAGCAAACCTGATGCAGCTACTACATTGTTAAGATTATCCCAGAGTTATTCACAGTCCTCCTACACGAAATCAACTACTACACCATTTACTGTACTAAACACACTATTGCAACTACTGAATGAACAAAACAAAAAACATATTTTTTTCAGATTGAATAGGACAGAGTTTGTTTGTCTTTTATCACTGAACAGCTCACATTCCACTAAATGTCCTTTCAGCACAGCTATGAGTCGTCTCATCCCTATGAGGTCACTAAGGAAGCTCCCGCTAGTGTGCCGGATCCAGTCTGAGCATTGGCTATTGACATATTTCCTTCAAGAACACAGGGCCAGGGCAAAGTAAACATCGGCCTGCAAGGCATGCGCTCGCACTGATGCTCAGATGGGCTGATTTCTCATATCAGATTTACCCAACATATTTCTGTGGCTGCCTAGACTAAGCAGGAGTCCACGTTAGGAACAGATAACGAGTGTCGTTCACACAGCACCGACACATACCGGGGCGCTTATCTCTGCACCTCCTCACATGCCAGTGCAACCTGGACAGGGAGGAGATTGTTACATTTGGTGATTTGTTTTTACTTCTTGAAACAGATAAAAATGTGCATACCTCTATGTATTCTGGTGAAAATTATATTTCTCTCATTATTTTTGCTGTTCCAAAACTGTACAACTTACTTTATTCTTCTGAATACAAAAGAAGATACTTTTTTTGTATGGACAAAAAAAACAGTAACAATAATTATAAAAAATCTCAATATATATCAAATTTCACTCATAAATTTTGAAGTATAAAGAGTAAATTGTAAAAGAGTAAATTAGATATAAAATAAATAAAATATAAATATAAATAGTATTTTATTTTAAAACATACTCAATCTTTCTTTTATTTACAAATTATTTTTACAGTACACCGAAGAAAGAAAGGTTTGAGACAGCATGAGGGTGAGGAAATGCCAATTTTCTTTTTTAGGTGAACTACTTGTCAGAGTTTTTACCCCTTTTAAAAATATATATATACAGTGGGTACGGAAAGTATTCAGACCCCCTTAAATTTTTCACTCTTTGTTATATTGCAGTGTTCAAAAAATTAATTAAAAAGTAATTCTTACGCCCCAAAAAGAATGTAGGAAATACCTTTCATTTGATTCAAGGATTTTTTTAATGATTAGAAATACCTTCAAATGAACAAAAGCATACAATTCTTCCACATAATTTACAACCATTACTGACTGAGCTCATGTAGACCTCTGGGCTTGATCTCCAGAGACATCTGCTTTGCCCACTAAGACCCAACATCCTGTCATTCGCAGCGACTGAACCTCCCTTTCTTTCCTTCATCCGTAATGGCAGCAATTAAAATATAAGGTAAACTTTTCAGCAGCCTTTCATGGTATTGAAAGGCATTGTGTTGCAAATGGGGCGTAATGTATTCATCCCTAGGTAAACATCCCTGCCATGTCCCTTCTGCAGAACAGAGGAGAACAAAATGAAAGTGATAATTTCTCCCCCTCTGAGAATCCGCCTCTTTAATTCTGACAGTAAACTCGTGGCTGTTACGGGGTGTTAAGTAGGATTTAAAACTTGTCAGACAAGACATGTTTGAAATTGCTTTAAATAAGAGTACTGTGTTGCTGTCAACCAGAGGCTTAGAGGAACATACCCTCACAATTGAGGCACTCATCTAAGCTCAAGAACCATGCCCCTGCTCTGCTTCTACTTTTTCCTGCCTGCGTCCTGCCTCCTAACACTGTGATCCAGCCCCTCCTGGTGGTGACACAAACGTATTACTGACTATCCAATCCGATGGCCACCCACAAAACCTCAAATCTGGTTGATCATTGAGGCCCATGGAGAAGATCTGTTGAATCGAATATAAAACATTAATATTCTCAACACTACATGCCTGTTTGATGCAAATAAAAAAGGCACAAGAGACGTGGGCTTGGAAATCTGAAATATAAATAATGATGCTTGAATTAAGATTTATTCGTTTCGTATTCATCCATTTTTGATTCATTCTATACACTGAAAAAAATCTTAAAATCTGTGGAGATAAAACATGACTAAGCGTTTGTCCTTGATTCAGATGCTTGAGAAGAACATTTTTTATTTTACCAACATTGCCTCCGTATTAAATCATTCCAGTGCTAAAAAGAAAATATGTAAATCATATCAGCAAATAACACTGATATGTATGCCAAAGGACTGGATGCTGTAAAATCTGCGATCAGGGTCTGACACTGGAGCGTTAATTAATGAGCACATTACTGTAGCAATTAGCCCAACATAATTAGAAATGAGGGCACATCCAAATATTTCTGTGTCTTTGTATTAAGAATGACTGGTAAACAATATCTGACATTTTTAGATAATTAAGCCCGGTTAAAAAGAGGTCTCGAGTCATCAGGGCAAATACACAGTTTAGTCTTGCATGAGTCTTTGCATTACAGTGGTTCTCAATGTGAAATAGTACTACTGAGAAGCAAGGTTACACAGATAAATAATGTATAACAGTGTCCATGATTAAGAAAAGGAAGCACCTTTGGAAAAAGTCTGAGCTCTTTGTATCATGTTGGTTTCATATGCTTTTGAAAAAAAACTTTTAAACCATTTTCAAGTGTAAATTGAATGTCTCTAAAAACCCTCAAGTACACAGAAATAATATTTTCCTTACACATTGAATACATGCAAGTACACATTGTAATCATTTTACAAATATCATTAATGAATAATTCAAAGTTTCGGGGGAGCTGCACTACATGACAACCTGAAATAAACCTCGACAAGTCAAATGATCTAATATTTTATGAAAATTATTGACCTTGACACACAGCCATGAGGGGCTGCAGGAGTCATCTCTATTATTTCACTTCCTTTTTTCTGCATGTTTCTGTATGTTGGTTGCACTACATGATGTTGATTTGAAAAACAAAATGCATAAAACTAAAGAGCTAAATTGTTAAAAAAAAAAAAAATTCTAAGAAATATTAATGAAAGATTACACAATTGGAGGCGGTTGTGTTTCGGGCAACTGAAGCTCAACACCCAATCCCATCTGCCTCCATCTTCTACTTTTCTTTGTCAATTCTCTGTCCTGTCCCATGAAACCAAAAACACATCTTTAAAAAAGTAGATTACTACTACAATGTCATTATCTTTTAATAATTATTTTTATGAAAATTAAATACAATTTTAAAATAAATCCTAATAATAGAAGGTGTGTTTTTAAGTAATTGTATTTGTGAATTGTATTTTTAATGATTTGAAGTCAAAGCCACTTTCACAAGCTCTTTCATCACTTGTGAAATCACTTGCAATGAACACCATTATGGAATACCTATACAAACCAATTCATTCAAGCATCCAACTGAGTTTCGGTTTATTAACATTGCTTTGCAAACTGTGTACTTGTCTTTCTGTTACATAGCTTTCTATCTTACAAATATTATCGTTTGTCTGTGACAGAATACAAGAAAGCAAGCATTTTTTTGAGTATGACGCAGAGGCAGGAAAATCCTGGTAGTCACACCGGTCATCATCCACTGTCCGAAGCACTCAATGGGCAACCGCGCACATTTACTGTTACTTCTTCAGCGTGTTGCCAGGTTTCTGGGAAGTAAAAAGGGAAAAAAATAGCAGATAAAACACGGGTGCAGAGCTGGAGTACGACATTAAGAACTAACCCTCTGAAGCACCGTGTCCACGATCTGGCAACCACTCTCGGCGTGGCGAGCCTTTATCATACAAAGGGATTAGATCGTCCAGTCTAAGAGCCTCCAAGTTATTAGCACCTTCTTATACAAAGTATAACAGCAATCCTAAAGACATTGATTGCAGGGAACAGTTCAAATATGATTTTCTTATAGCTATTAATATGTATGCCTTAAATAGAAGCACACCACTAAGCAGCTTATGATATTATGAAAAGAATGTTCCCTCAGGGACATAATATGCCAACAGTGACAGTAAGGAGAGATTCGTATTTACCCAGATTGGCTGTACTTACGTCAAGCATTCTCCGAGCTTGTGGGAGGGAACACGGGGCAGTGGCAACAGCTCGGTTTCGATAAGCACTTACCGTGAATAAAAGACAAGCATGAAAGTGAGGTTTAGCCTCTTTAAAGATTCCTCACCAAATGTAGAGGCAGATAGGGCAGGTGCTTTTGGTTCCGGACGTGATTAGCCGTCTGTGGCTCACTGTTCCTGCAGAAACGAGACATTGCAGAGACATTGTCCAAGCTTGTCCAGGTGGGGGACCTGTCATCCCAAACCAGGGCTTAACAGAGCGCCGCTTCGAGCAAGAGATTAGGACCCAAGAATTTAGATTCTTTTTTTTCCCCCAATGCGTGCTTAATCCAAAGAACTGCTTTTTTTCTCTTTCCTTTTCTCTCGGTTGCTCTCTCTCTGACATTCTAGACTCACTTCATGTCATTCCGTTTTAATAATTTCTTTGCTTTATTTTTATCTCCCAATGTTATTCAGATTCTCTTTTTTTCCAGATGAGCTGGGTTTGATTTGTTCTTCATTATGCAGTTTTTCAAGGATAAAAAGAGAGGATTTCATTGGGTTTTTCTTGGGATTGATTGGCACAGCTGTGGTCTTGCTGGATAAATACACAACAGTAGATCTGCCGTTGCTAGAATGAGCAACATACTAATGCTCAGTCACACAAAATTACCAGACACATTCTGAACTTCTATAAAAACACTTCGGTCACTAAACTATAGCATCTCTACACTTGTGTTGATGTTACTTTTGTAAATGACTGAAGCGTTACAATGAATTGCTCTGCTATTGAGGTTGTTGGCCTCGAGTATGAACTCTGACTATAACTCATTCATATATTTACAAGCACAACTTCACTCTCACAACTGCAGTAGTTCAACAATATAAATTTGTTTGCCATTGCTTTCCCCACACATTAGAGGAAGGATTTTTCTTTTTACTTTTTGAGGCCAAAGACCTCAAATATGATGGTCTCTTTGCATCCCAACTTAATAAAAAACAAATGTTTTGAGAAAAATATAAAAACTGTGCTATTATAAAGACAATTACATTTGGCCTTTATATTGTGATTGTACGAAACTAAATTGCAAAAATATTATCTGGAAAATATTTTATATATTAAGTTGACATTGTATCTGAGATTACCACTTAAAGGGATAGTTCACTCAAAAATGAAAATTCTGTCATCATTTACTCACCCTCATGTCGTTCCAAACCTGTATGAGTTGCTTTCTTATGTTTAACACAAAAGAAGATATTTTGAAGATTGCTGGTAATCAAACAGTTGGTGGTTGCCATTGACTTCCATAGTATTTTTTGTCCTACTGTGGAAGTCAATGGCAACCACCAACTGTTTGATTACCAGCAATCTTCAAAATATCTTCTTTTGTGTTCAAAAATGATGACAGAATTTTCATTTTTGGGTGAACTATCCCTTTAACTCATTAATATAAGCACACTATGATAGCCATAAAAACACAGTTTGTAAAACCTGAATGGTTTCTTCTCAAATGTTTTGTGATCCCTTGTGGCCACCACTTTGAAAACCATTGCATTATATGTAGAACACTACATAGAAAAGGTTAAAACATCAGTTTTGCTTCAGGTGCTTTAAACCAGCATTGTACAACTTGCACGCCACCTGGCAACCAAAAACAAAAACAAAGTTTTCAAATGGCCATGGAATGGAGAAACTATTAAAGCAGTGTATTAAAAGTGGTCAGGTAGCTGCAAATGTTCTTGAAGTAGTTTAAACAGCTTCCATTGTGGATTTATCGAATTACACAAGCCAGCCACCCCCATGGACACAAATGTACAAGTGCACAGAACAAAAAAGTTCCATCAAGACATCTGAAATAGACTTTTTTTCTCTTGAAAAAGACAATTTTCTCTTCCTTCTCCTCCTCCTCATCTCAGCAGAACATGTGCAAGGAAGCCTTTTGCAATCAGTCATCATAAGAAAAGGAATGAATGGAATGCTTTGCCCATTTCTCAGCATTGAAAACAGCATTGAGATATAGATAGCATGATTCTGAAGAAAAGTGTGTTTAAATGAACTTGAAGAGCCTGGCTTAAGTATCGAACTGAATGGAAATACCTAATGACAAAAAGAGAGAAAAATGTACTTTACAATGACATCTGTAGAAGAAACTTGATGTCCATGTCTATTATGGATTTTGCCATGGTTGATGTTTCTCTAACATGTTAATAACTTAGTCCTTAGTCCTGTCAACTGAAAGATGCAGGTCTATGTTAACATACATACATAAATAGGACATATTTGGTCACAATCTCTACGATTCGTTTGAAAAGAAAATCATGAACATCTTCAAGACCGATCACAACACAAAATTGTCAGATTACCCACCCATAATTTCAAATCAAAACTAAAGTTAAAAAGATTTGCTAGTTCAGCTAAATACTTAATAGTTACTCACACATTAAAACATTAGACATTAAATAAAATTAAATATAAAAACGTAAAAGTACAAGCAAGCATATGTATAAATATAAAAAACTATAAATAATGCATTCAATTATATAAACATGAATACGGTACCATAAAGGCATGCTATAATAGGCTAAACTTAAAATGCAACAGTATTTTAATAAAAACTGCACTGACATGTATCCATTTTACTGGAAAAAGGTTGCAGATCTTTGCATTAGTAAATATTACTCATAGTTACACATCATAGTTTTTATTTACCAAGCACAGAGTAAAAGCAGACTATGTTATATGTGTGAATACATATTATATGCATGATAGGAAACACTGGCAGTTTTGTGAAAATAAATAGCAATTTCATTAAGGCCTATGAGATAATTTCAATGCCACCCCATCAAATAGCTGCTTTGTTTATCCATATGATCTTGTTTTCTGACAGGTACCATCATCAAATGACATTCAGTGACTTATATTTCAGGTTCAATGCATATGTGGTAATACACCATCAGTAATAGAGAAGAGAGCTTCTCCCCACTCCCTTAACACTTAATACATTCAGTGACTTATATATCAGGTTCAATGCATATGTGGTAACACACCATCAGTAATAGAGAAGAGAGCTTCTCCCCACTCCCTTAACACTTAACTCCATTCAGCCCCTGTTTATCAACTTAATTATCCTTCTATCTGCAAGTGGAATACACACCGCCGCCCAAAGTAAAAGATGAAAGCAAAGGGTGAAAGGTGTGCAGGCGGGAGAACGAGGGATGGAGAAGGAGTCAAAGTGTTTCATTTATAACCAGAAAGAAGCCCTCAGAGAGCATTTATCCATAATGGGGAAATAATGAAGAAAGATTAAAGCCCTCTGGGACATTTCACCTGTATGAGTTGCTTTCTTATGTTTAACACAAAAGAAGATATTTTGAAGATTGCTGGTAATCAAACAGTTGGTGGTTGCCATTGACTTCCATAGTATTTTTTGTCCTACTGTGGAAGTCAATGGCAACCACCAACTGTTTGATTACCAGCAATCTTCAAAATATCTTCTTTTGTGTTCAAAAATGATGACAGAATTTTCATTTTTGGGTGAACTATCCCTTTAACTCATTAATATAAGCACACTATGATAGCCATAAAAACACAGTTTGTAAAACCTGAATGGTTTCTTCTCAAATGTTTTGTGATCCCTTGTGGCCACCACTTTGAAAACCATTGCATTATATGTAGAACACTACATAGAAAAGGTTAAAACATCAGTTTTGCTTCAGGTGCTTTAAACCAGCATTGTACAACTTGCACGCCACCTGGCAACCAAAAACAAAAACAAAGTTTTCAAATGGCCATGGAATGGAGAAACTATTAAAGCAGTGTATTAAAAGTGGTCAGGTAGCTGCAAATGTTCTTGAAGTAGTTTAAACAGCTTCCATTGTGGATTTATCGAATTACACAAGCCAGCCACCCCCATGGACACAAATGTACAAGTGCACAGAACAAAAAAGTTCCATCAAGACATCTGAAATAGACTTTTTTTCTCTTGAAAAAGACAATTTTCTCTTCCTTCTCCTCCTCCTCATCTCAGCAGAACATGTGCAAGGAAGCCTTTTGCAATCAGTCATCATAAGAAAAGGAATGAATGGAATGCTTTGCCCATTTCTCAGCATTGAAAACAGCATTGAGATATAGATAGCATGATTCTGAAGAAAAGTGTGTTTAAATGAACTTGAAGAGCCTGGCTTAAGTATCGAACTGAATGGAAATACCTAATGACAAAAAGAGAGAAAAATGTACTTTACAATGACATCTGTAGAAGAAACTTGATGTCCATGTCTATTATGGATTTTGCCATGGTTGATGTTTCTCTAACATGTTAATAACTTAGTCCTTAGTCCTGTCAACTGAAAGATGCAGGTCTATGTTAACATACATACATAAATAGGACATATTTGGTCACAATCTCTACGATTCGTTTGAAAAGAAAATCATGAACATCTTCAAGACCGATCACAACACAAAATTGTCAGATTACCCACCCATAATTTCAAATCAAAACTAAAGTTAAAAAGATTTGCTAGTTCAGCTAAATACTTAATAGTTACTCACACATTAAAACATTAGACATTAAATAAAATTAAATATAAAAACGTAAAAGTACAAGCAAGCATATGTATAAATATAAAAAACTATAAATAATGCATTCAATTATATAAACATGAATACGGTACCATAAAGGCATGCTATAATAGGCTAAACTTAAAATGCAACAGTATTTTAATAAAAACTGCACTGACATGTATCCATTTTACTGGAAAAAGGTTGCAGATCTTTGCATTAGTAAATATTACTCATAGTTACACATCATAGTTTTTATTTACCAAGCACAGAGTAAAAGCAGACTATGTTATATGTGTGAATACATATTATATGCATGATAGGAAACACTGGCAGTTTTGTGAAAATAAATAGCAATTTCATTAAGGCCTATGAGATAATTTCAATGCCACCCCATCAAATAGCTGCTTTGTTTATCCATATGATCTTGTTTTCTGACAGGTACCATCATCAAATTACATTCAGGGACTTATATATCAGGTTCAATGCATATGTGGTAACACACCATCAGTAATAGAGAAGAGAGCTTCTCCCCACTCCCTTAACACTTAACTCCATTCAGCCCCTGTTTATCAACTTAATTATCCTTCTATCTGCAAGTGGAATACACACCGCCGCCCAAAGTAAAAGATGAAAGCAAAGGGTGAAAGGTGTGCAGGCGGGAGAACGAGGGATGGAGAAGGAGTCAAAGTGTTTCATTTATAACCAGAAAGAAGCCCTCAGAGAGCATTTATCCATAATGGGGAAATAATGAAGAAAGATTAAAGCCCTCTGGGACATTTCCGTTTTTTTCTCTAAATGATCATAACGTACCCCCGTTCGTCACAATGGACTCGAAGGGATGTTCAGACACTATTATATAGCCAAAAATGAGCCCTGGCAAAAGCTTGAGTCACTCCGTCAGTTAAATGCAGGCTGTAGCAACACCGGTAAAAGGCTTACCTGTGAATTAAGAGCAGCAGCTTTTGTCTCCCTTGTTTGGCGGTAGAAAATATCAGAAGGGGGTCTATTTCCTGAGTGATTCAAGGTGAGTTTGGAGGTTCAATTGAACCTATCATTACGGCAGTGAGTAGTTTAATGCCAGCAGGTGTGCTCAATGAGGACTCAAATAATGATCTTTGGAGAGCTCTCTACAGCTTGACCCCTGACGGAACTATTTATGTTCTAAAGAAGCAGGGCCTGCTCAGTAAAAGCATCATGCACCAATCTGATAGCATAATATCAGGAGAAACTGTATAAAAGGTCTTGAGATATTATACAATGTATGGATGTTTTTTCAATTAGATTTTTATTAAAACTACATGATCAACTTAATTTTTGTAATATTAAGATCACATTACAATTGAAAATGGAAACATTTATCACATTTAACATTTACTTATATTTATTTTTGCTTTACTTTTTAAATTCTTTTCATAAATAGACTTTGTTTGCTTTTGTCTCAGTATCAGACTTTCAAACTATGAAAATCCAACATAAAATTAGAAGTTACCATTTTTAAAACTATGAAAATCTAAACAAAATGTGAAAAACAAGCCATTTTCATATTTAAAATTTTGAAAATTTTCAAATATTGTGGTTGAAATAACCATTACTTTCAGGGCCAAGGAATAATTCGGTCCCACTTAATATTAAGTGGCCTTAACTACTATGTACTTACATTTAAATTAATCATTTGGTACAATGCAATTATTGTGTACATACATGTTTTTACATTGTACTTATATTTTAAAAATACCTGCATGTAATTACATCTGTAATTAATTTCTGTAATTACATTTATAATTACACTGTTGACCCATCCCTTACACCTTAACCCACCCTTAAACCTACCCAAACCACCAAACCTGTCCTTAACCTTACCCATATCCCACCTCAATAGCAGCAAAAGTGTTTTGCAATACAATATGAACACAATAAGTACATTGTACTTATTTTTTTATGTATGTACATAGTAGTTAAGGCCACTTAATATAAAGTGGGACCAATAATTCTATAACATATGTATATACACTGTTGGGCATTGTTAGTGGACAAATTAACTAATGTTTTAAGAGATTTTATATTCCAAATGTGCCCATAGCTCAGGGTTGTCATATCCTGTTCCTGCTGAGCTTAGCTCCAACCTTTTATAACATACTAGCCCCAAATGTTCTAGTAATCCTGAAGACATTGATTAGCTAGTTAAAATGTGCATTTAATTAGGATTGGAGCCAAACGCTGCAGGATAGTGGCCCTACAGGAGCAGGATTGGACACCCCTGCCACAGCTGAAGAAAGACATTGTCTGCATCTGAATCACATACTTCACTACTATATAGTAGGAGAAAAACAGTATGTGACAAAAGAAGTATGTCCGTATTCACAGTACTCATAAAAGAGTAGGCAAAAAGTACCCGAATGACCATACAGAGCATGATCCTGTAGTGTGC